ATTTCCAAACACCCAGGTGTTCGATAACAAGCAGAACAAACACCAGAAGCTGGCCTTGGTGCCAGGCGGACCAAGGTGGTGAAGTTAGCAGTCCCTTAACTCGCTGCCATGAGGCTCAGGACACACCATCCACAAGAACAGCAAGCTCTGGGGAACCCTGGCCTTCAGGAAGGCAAAAACCGTAGCCCAGCACAGACCAGTTGTCATGAAGATGCACAGCAGCCCCTAAGCTCCGTTTCCAGAAGGCTTCTGGGAACCCTAAACAGTCCCTTCTGAATGCAGCTGCACAAACAGGGTACACATGTGTGCAGTGGTTGTCACACAAATGTAAAGATGAACACTCAGTGGTGTATAACCTCTAACACAGACCAGAGCTGCTGCACACGAGGTATCCAGAGACGCTCCATCCTCTCACACCAGTGGTGGATATTCTTCCCTTCACTCAATAAACAACCACTGAGCCTGGTACCAGCGGTGTAGGCCGTAATCTTAGCTACTCAGGAGGCTGAGATCTGAGGATTGCAGTTGGAGGCCAGCCCAGGCAGACAAATACAAGAGACTCTTAGCTCCCATTGGGCCTGCAAAAAGTCAAAAGTGGAGCTGTGTCTCACAAGATTAGAGGCCAGGGCATTCATCACCTTTTGACCTTATCGCTTTAAAAACGCCAGCCTCAAAAACCTAAAGAGAACTGTCACATGACCCAGCGCTTCCACACCAAGGTAAGTTTTTACTCCACGCAACAGAAAGCAAGAATTCAGACACCTACACACAGATGATAGATAGTATTATTCACAATGTTCATTTCAACACAATGTGGTATACCTTACTCGAAGAAACACCATTCTACCATAAAAAATAATTGAGCTCTGGGCTACCACGTAGGTGAATCTTAAATACGGTATATTAAGTGAAATAAGCCAGAACAAAAGGACAAATATTCCATGATTCCATTTACATGATGTTCGCTGGGGCTGAGCACACTCGAAGCCCGGGGCTCCTGTGTCGATTTCGCAGCCATGCTAAGGCAGACTTTGTCCCAGGATCTCACCTAGTCTATGATCTTGGATGTTGAAAAGTAAGTGAAAGATGGTGTTTAAGAATCCTGGAGGCCTGAGTCATAAAGTAAGAATGAACTGGAATAGAGGTAGTCCATTAATTATTCCAGTCACTTTCTTGCTTTTCTGCATGACACTGCAATAAATGTTCAAAACCCTATAAAATAACTTGCCATGAAGCTAAACTCTACCTAAAACAACCCCCCCCCAAATCATTGTTTAAAGTGACAAAACAGTGACACACTGCGTGACAGTTCAGCAAGTGACTCATGGGGCTCAGTGCTCTGAGACATGGAGATCAGCCATCAACATCCCCAACCCAATCTTTTCGCTTGAGGTGTGTGTATGTGTGTGTATGTGTGTGTGTGTGCGCGTGTGTGCACGCGCGTGTGTGTGCGGGGGAGTTCTGAGACACAGAGAGCTTGAAACTCCTTGTCCCTGGTCAACACTCACGGGAAAGCTGGGCCCAGTGGCTCAAGCCACTGATTGAGGGATTCAAGGCCAGCCCAGGAATAAACATTCCAGAGACTCCATCTTACTTAATGGCTGTGTGCAGTGGTGCTTGCCTGTCATCTCAGTGACAAGGCGAAGCAGAAACAGGAGAATAGCAATCCAGACTTGCTGTGGCATATATAAAGCAAGAGGCTGTCTGGAAAAGGTACTGGCATAGTGGCTAAAGTGATAGAGGGCCTGCTTAGCAAACAGAAGATCCTTAGTTCAAGCCCCAGTCTGGTCCAAGAGGGGGAAAAAGGCCAGGAATAGGCAGACAGAGTCGGGTTTCATGTCCAGTCTTATTACTATATTAACTGTGTATTAATAATACCCAACTAACCTCAGCACGCAGGCTGAAAAGAACCAGAATAATTGATCTCCACCACATGAATGTGGCTCAGCAGGGGTCTGTCCCCACATAAACAAAACTGAGCAGTTCCACTGGTCATTTACATTCAAATGAGCTGCTGTCTCTTAATCTCTCCAATTTCATCTTCCTTTCTTCTTTTCCCTCCCCGTTTCCAGGGCTCCCTGTGCTGGCCATTCCAAAACCTGCTACAACGCTAAGGACGAGGGCCACCGAGCCATAAACAGGTAGACAAGAGCTGGAGCAACGGCTAAACCATCAAAGCCTTACCAAGGTTAGTGGAATGACAGGTTTATGTGGGGAAAATGGAAACATCGCAGAAATAACAAACATTGTTTGTGGAAAGTTTCAGGTCTTTGCTTTCTGGAAAATTATGCCTTGGAAAACTTGACACTCTGCTCCTTCCTGAAGGACAGGGGAGAGAGAAGTGGGGGGTGGGGGAGGCCTCAGACCTGACGCCCTCCCCTGAGTTTCAGTTACGTGTCTGTCTCTCCTTCAGCGCCAGCGATGGGGGACAGAAACTAGGAACTGTAGCTACAACACAGGCTCGAGCCAAACATCCCCACGAGCATTTCTTTAAAAGCGATGGAAGCCAGGCCCCCCTGGTGCATGCCTGTAATCCCAGCTACTCGGGAGTCTGAGATATGAGGATGTGGTTAGCAGCCTGCTGGGCAAGAAAGTCATTGAGATTCCTATCTCCCATTAACCATTCCCAAAAGCCGGAAGAGGAGCTGTGGCTCAAGCAGCAGAGCATTAGAGCCTTAAGCAAAAAATGCTAAGGGACAGCAGCCAGGCCTAGACTAGCATTCAAAACAAACCAAAACAAAAAAACTAGAGCTGCTAGGAGCTGGAGACTCATATCTGTAATCCTAGCTACTCAGGAGGCTGAGGTCTGAGGATCTATGTTTGAAACCAGTCTGGGCAGAAAAGTCCCTGTGAAACTCAACTCCAATTAACCACTCAAAAACAGGAAAAGGTGCTGTGGCTCAAAGTGATAAATTGCTAGCGTTGAGTAAAAGAGCTCAGGGACAGTGCCTAGGCTCTGAGCTCCAGCCCCATGAACAACAAAACAAACAAACATAAATACCTAATGTAAACAAGGGAGAAGATGACAGAGGGGGTAACCTGCCCTGAATACCACCCCCCTCCAACCCTGTGCTGCCCTATGAGACCCTGGACAAAGCTGTGGGCCTAACACAGACCTGGCTAGCCTGGGGGCTGGACATGTGTAGAGAGCACAGCCCAGACATGAGTGTTGCCCTGGAGACCTGGATCTGATTCAACGCATCATTATTACGCTTTTCCCACCAGTTGACAGCGCTTTCTTCCTCAACTCCCCAAAACTTCCTGGGGCTGGAGGCATAGTGTGAGTGACCAGTGTCCCCAAAATAAACGTCCACTTGTGCAAACCTGGTTGAGCAACCATTTGCGCTTGATAAGTCATCCATCTCGCAGGTTTCCCACTGCTGCAGCCTCCTCCTACACCAGAGAGGTCCCAGGAGGAATGAGGCCTGGGTCACCACCAACAGGAACAATGCCATCGGAAGTACACTTCTCCATTTTGCCTCACCTTGTGGGATTTTTCTTTTTAAAGAAAAATATACTTTCAATTTTTGTCCCTCCTCACTCAAATTCCACTGGAGGGGCTCACACATGAATGGACAGAATCCCGCCGGTCACGTGTATGTTCGGAGGCCAGAGGACCCGCAAAGCGGGCCTTGAGTTGCTTTTCAAATAGAGGTGCTCTTCATTTAGTGAAATGTTGTTGTAAGTAATTAAAACTGAGTTGCACCTGTTCAAAATCAAGCTGCGGCTCCTAATTAAGCAGCACTCCCCGCCCCCCCCCATCTTCCAGCAATATCTGTAATCACTAATTCAGATTTGCTAAAAGCGCCTCACCCATAATAATGATGTCGATCCCATTTATTTTGAGACCAGGAACCTCCAGTGGCTCACAGGCTGTCTTTGTACTTCCTTACAAGGCTGTCTTAATTGCCAGAATTAATTAGCCACCAGGATTCTGACCATTCTTACACTTCAATTGTATTTAAGTAAATCCCTGAAACACAAGGATCACAGGACTTACAACAAGCATCTCAGGAGTGAAACAAAACCACCGTTTTGGTGGCTTAACTCTTCCTTTCTAACTAGTACTATCTCATGAAACCTTTGTCTGTTTTTATTTTTCCTTTAAAAAAAGAAAAAGAAAAGAAGGCTCAACCCTTCAATCTCATAGTTCTTTAACTCACAACTGAGCCAAAGGACAAGCCAGCCCTGTGCTTTCTGTCTCCCCACCAAGGAGAAGTCATGAGAGGCAACAAGTCCAAACTTCACAGGGGGAGGGAGGGGGGCCTCCCTTCTGCTCCCCATTCCTCTCTGGGTTTTGACCTCTGGGTGTTAATGTTTAAGCGTTACAAAAACTACTTTTTTTTTTTTTTTGGTGCCAATACAGAATTCTGGACCTTGCATTCCCACTTCACTTTTTTGCCCAAGGCCCTTGAGCCACGCTCCTACTTCCAGCTTTTTGCTGGTGAATTGGAGGTTAATTGGGGTCTCTCATCGGCTTGTTTGTCCAGGCTGGCTTTGAACATTGACCCTCAGACCTCAGCCTCAAGAAGCTGGGACTGCAGTTGTGAGCCACCAGTGCCTGACTTGTGTTGGACTCTGGAGAGGCCTTGAGGATGGAGGCTAGAGGCCAGCCTCGGACGGCCTCGGCACAGTGTTACTAAGGAACATTTCACACTCCTGTCTCTAAGCCAAGTCCGAGCCCTGTTAATGCAATCCGGCTCTGGCAGGCAACGACACTGAAACTTTTCAAGTCCTGCTCCAGTGTAAGTTGTACAGATCATAAAACATATAGAAAACAGACTCTCAACTTTCAACCTTGCAGTTATTAAACTCTCCTCGTATGAAGAACAATACCAACGGGGCTTGTACTTTCAAATTATATCCAACTATTCAACATTGACACAATCAATTATAATAATTGTTCTTTTTTTCCCCCCCGAAATATCCCTTCTCATTCCTGCCAATTCTGGAGGACTTTCGACAAGAAATAATAGAGTACTTTAAAAGCTCAGCTCTACCTTATAGCCTCCAATGCGATGCTCCTGCTTGAACTCCTTGCCGTTTTTCAGCCACCTCAGGGTGGGTGTGGGGCTGCCACCAGCCGCACAGCGGAACTTGACGGTGTTAGCAGCGGGGACGGCGTGCAGTCTCTTTTCCATCTTGTCCGTGTGGGTCCAGTACGGGGCTCCTGAGTTGGAAGACGACGTTGAGATCATGTACGTAAGTGGACACTTTTATCGCATGAACAAACTCCAAGAAGGTACAGTTGTTTTCATGGTCTATGAAAAGGCTCTGATATTTTTGCAATCTTTGGACAATAATTGACATGGGGGAAATATTTTCAGAAGTCTAGTCTGACTGGCCTAGCGCAGGTCTCTGGAGGGACTGCATATTGGTTAGCATCTATTAACAAGGAAAAAGCCATCAAGACACTCTCTGTGTCTCTCTGGTGCTCTCTCTCTCTTGCGCTCACTCTCTCTTTTCTCCCTCTCCTTTTCCCTCTCCCTCTCTCTCTCTCAATTCCTGGTGCCAGAAAAAAATGCATGTCATATCACGTTTAAAAATACTACTTTCCACTCACAGCAACACAGTAACAATGGCTCAGTCCTCTAAAATTACATCACTTGAGATGGCCACGCCCATTCAATGATTGCATATGCACACTAGGACAAACAAGCTGGCTTCTTCAAAAGCCACGTCAGTGGGCCCTCAGCCCACCCCAAACCTATGTTGACAACATACATGACAGGTGAATGTTATGTGAAGTTCTGACCTTATGGTCATAAAGTGATTTTGTTGTTGTTGTTTTAGGGAGGGACTGGTCCTGGGGCTTAAACTCAAGGCCTGGGAGCTGTCCTTGAGCTCTTTTTGCTCAAGGTTAGTGCACTACCACTCTGAGCCAGTGATTTTTCTGGTGGTTAATTTCTGGTTTTCTGGTGGTTAATTGGAGATAAGAGTCTCAAAGACATTCCTGCCCAGGCTGGCTTTGAGCTGCGATTTCAGATCTCAGTTTCCTGAGTAGCTAGGATTTATAGGCACAAGTCACCAGCACCTGGCTACAAGTAATTTTTTTTAAGCCCAAGAAAGAAGGCAAGTTTTTAAATCTCTAAGTGAAGTATGCATTATAAATAGGAGCCACAGAACCCGTCATACTGCTACAAATTGTTCACACTTGCTAATAACTGCTAGTGACCATTAGTGGCTGAATGTTGCTTCTCAGCCATGACTTACTCTAAGAGCTTGACCTGTTCAGCACGTTAATCCTGACGACAATCCAATGAGAACAGCACTGAGACAATCACTGTTGACAGGTAGGAAACTGAGGCACCAAGCAGTTAAAACAAAGAAATTTGTACAAAGCCACAAAGCTCAGAAAGGGGTAGTCAGAATTTTATACCAAATCAATCTGATTCAGGACAGAGTTCACTCTTTCCAGCCCTATTTTCCAATGTTAAAAAGAAGCCATTCAAAGCTAGCCCAGGAAGGAAAGTCTATGAGACTTATCTCCAATTAACCAGCAAAAAGCCAAAAATGGAGATGTGGTTCAAGTGGTAGAGCTCCAGCCTTGAGAGAAAAAGCTGAGCAAGAGTGTGAGGCTCTGAGTTCAAGCTCCACTACCAACACCAAAATAAATGGACAAAGAGAGAGAGGGGAAAGGAGGGGGAGAGGGGAGAGGGGAGAGGGAGGGAGAGAGAGAGAGAGAGAGAGAGAGAGAGAGAGAGAGAGGAGGGAAAGAAGGAAGGAGGGAAGGAGGGAGGGGGAGGAGGACCAGCAGCAAGTTTCCCCAAAGGTTTAGGACTTTACCTTCAACCAATGTGACATTGAAGACCAAAGTCCAAAACACCTGGTCTGAGCGAAGGCCACCCTCCCTCCCTCCCTCCTTCAGTATTGTCCTGAACTTCCATGAAAATCAGGGACTACAATTTCACATTTCACATGTATGTTTCTGTCTGAGCAAACTGGGTAACCCAAATCCCATATTCTTCTCCCCTAAGGGATCTGTTGACAGGGCCTTGAACATTCTAGAAAACTGACTTGTAACTGTGCTACTTTCCATGAGGTCAAACTCATGGCCACACATGCACTCCACAAACCAGAGGTAAACAGGAGCAAGCAGGAACGTGTCCTCTGGCCTGTATGTGGAAGTCTCTCCTACACGCAGCCCAGCGTGCTCTAGGGAAGGGCTTCCCTTGGTACCCATACTCTCAAGTTAGGGATCACCACTTCCATCCCCAACCCCATCTGCCTAACACTCATGCATGAGCCCACTACGAGGAACAAGGAGAACACTGAGGATTAATTTCCTTTCCTTTCCTTTCCCCTCCCTCCCTCCCTCTCTCCTTTCCTTCCCTCCTTCCTGTGTGTGCACACATGTGCTGGTACTGGGACTTGAACTCAGAGCCTTGGTACTGTCCCTGCTCTACCACTTGAGTCACAATTCCACAACTTTGTGATTGTTAATTTAACATAAGACAAGGAGTTTTTCTGCCCAGGATGGCTTCAAACTGCAATCTTCAGATCCCAGCCTCCAGAGTTGCTAGGATTTCAGGCGGGAACCACTACTGCCTAGTGGAGCTGAACTTCCTAACACAGGCTTCCGGACCGTCTTTATCCTGTGCATGTCCACGTATCCAGGTGGTAGGATTTACATGGCAGCTCTGATACACCAAGACTGTACAAAGAGGGGCAATATTATAGTTGGTCACCATGAGAATCACGAGAAAGGAAGCAAGGAGGGAAGATGAACGAAGGCAGGGAGACCAAGGGAGGAGGGATGGGCTGCACTCTGTCTTTGAATCCAACTGCATTCCAGACGGTAGCCAATGGGAAACCATCGCCCCTAAACACACCTATTCTTAGAGTTCACTGGGCAGTACTGGATTTCTGTTTATCACAAGCCCCCCAGGGTCTGACGTACATTGAAACAATTTCAATAATCTTTCACTTTAAAAGCTTCTACTTAGAAAAGAAAAATCCATCCACAGTCACTGAAAAGAAGCCATTGAGAGCACAAAATAAATTATGAGCTTTGTTACTACACAAAGAAGTTAACAAATCTGCCCTAAATGAAAAGCATACCTCATGCTGTCAGGTGTCTGCACCCATGTCATTTGTTTAAGTAAACACAATAGCCTATTCACATGAATTAGCTAAATATTAATGCAGTAACTCTTTCAGATAGCATCAATTACGGCTGAGCTGACCCTCTGGAATGTCTTTCTTTGCAACATAAAAGAAATCAACAGATATGTGCTTACAAACCATTAGGCCAGACTTTTCTTTTCTTTTCTCTTCTTTTTAATGTTCCTTAAGATGTCAAAAGTAGGATTTGGCTCAAGGAACTAGGAATGCTGTTCTTCCCTACCTCCCCAGGACCAAACAAGGATCTCCCTCCAACCATGTGTTCTGAAAAGCTCTGAGCTGCACCAACAGCACACCGGCCACCAGGGCCTTTGTCCTAGAGATGAAGGAAGAGTCATTTAAGGGTGGAAGCATTTCACTGGCATTTCTGGCTGGACGCCACTTCCTTGGGGTGCAACTTTCTATCTCTAAACTCTGCTGTGCAAAACAGATAAAAGCCATGTCTCTGGGTGTGGGTGCCAAACTTCTCATCACAGGCCCTGAGGCCCCAGGTGCATGATGGGAGGCCATGAAATCAAATCTCCAGAGTAGGAGCAGATCACCCATGTGGCTAGAGCTGGACGTTGAATTGTACAACATTCCCTCAAGAACTGTAACTTGTCCGAAACTCCAAAGAAAAGGCCAGGGGACCAAGTGGTTTGAGTGCCCTGGATACCAGTGACCAGCCTCCCCCTTCTCTGGCTAGAATCTCATTTGTCTGACCAGCCCTGGTCCGGTGTGTTCTCCTAATGTACAAGCACGACTTTTGCCACTGAATCTCCCCTATAAGATGTCAAGTATATTTCTTTTTAATAAACATGATGCAGGAAAGAAAGATGATTTTATTGTTTTCCAATGGCTCCTCCTGATAGAAACTAGTTTTTTAGACCTAGATCTAGAAAACTAACAAACCTATAATATGGGTCCTTAAACTCACTATGTAGCCCAGACTGGCCTCAACCCATCATCCTTCTGCCTCAGCCTCCGAAGTGCTAGGTTTACAGCATGCACCACCACACCTGGTTCCTTATATGCATTCCTATTGCCCGCCATCTTCACAGCCAAACCACATGAAAGAAATGTGAAGAACCCCAAAGAGCCATAATGAGTCCGTGAAGAAACACAGGCCCAGAACCTCAGACAGGTCAAGACCAAAGGAGGCCTCTTCCCTAACGAGGCCTGGGGGCAGCTTTAATAACTTTGATTTGGAGAAGGGATTGTCAAAATAAAGACGTACAAAAGCAGAGATAATCCGAGACCCTTAGTTGATGGTCAATACACAGGTTTAGTCAACAGCCTTATGTAAGAGTGATTACGTAAGCAAAGCATATCAGGTTGTTGGAGATCAAGGATATGAGCTACTGTTTTATATACTTCCCTTAGTATCATCTTAGTAGGAATAAAGTCACCGCATGACAAAGGAGAGCCAGGGCATACAAGGTGAGTGACACTATGGCAAATGTGAAGTTCACAAGTGAGCCTTGTGGACAGATGTGGTCCCTTTGGCTCTGATATCATCAGTAGCAATACAACAACATTTTCTTAGTCACTCAATACTGCATTTTTTTCTTTTTTTGGTCAGTTGTGGGGCTTGAACTCTGGGCCTGGGCGCTGTCCCTCAGCTCTTCAGCTCAAGGCTAGCGCTCTACCACTTGTGCCACAGCACCACTTCCAGTTTTCTGGTGGTTAATTGGAGATAAGAGTCTCACAGATTTTCTTGCCTGGGCTGGCTTTGAACCTCGATCCTCAGGTCTCAGCCTTTTAGCTAAGATTACAGGCGTGAGCCACCAGCCCCATGGTTAATGAGCAAATTTTAAGAAACAGTTAAGACTCCAACGCAACCAATAAGTCAAACTCCATCACCAAGGTTTAGTGTAGTGTGATTACCCATTAGCGATGATGTTAAGTATGTGAACAAGTGTCTCAAGCTGCTCAGAGAGATGCACACCCCCAAGTACTCCATCCCATCCAGGGTGAAGGCCCGGCCTCCCTTCTCTGGACTGGTTTCTGTTGTGTGCTGGAAGTGTTTCTGTACTGACCAGCCAGCATGGAGTGCTGCAGGCTGCA